AAGTTTCATATATATATATATATATATATATATATATATATATATATATATATATATATATATATATATATATATATATATATATATATATATATATATATATATATATATATATAATTATATGCACTATGATTTTCTGCCTCTCTTTATAAAAGTTTAATCAGAAGAAAATCCAATTAAAAATCATGCTTGACAATCAGAAAATCAATTTAATATTATACTTTTATTTTTCATTTCCCTACCATTTAATTAAAAGTTTAAACCTTCAGTCAGCAACCTTGCACGCCCATTTCGGAATTAATAACAAAGCACATCATGCACAAACCCTAACGAAATAGAATCTCAAACACCACTTCCAGCTTACCCAATGAGTCGGTCCTACTTCTCTGCGACCAGTGCCGTTCATGGGAGTCAGAGTGCCACGTCTCAGAGTCTATTTCAATACCCCCATAGCTGTCATCATGAGGTCCTCCTCCATTATCACCGTCGGTCTCTGTCATGTCGAAGATCTCTGTGACACGAACCTGTTGCGAAGGACAGGGAAACACAAGATAAAGGAAGGCTCGGACTGATTGCTGGAGACTTTTTTTTTTTTCCATAGTATGGAAAGTCTTGGCATCGAAAGCATTCAACTTTTACGCAGTACGCAAAACCGCAGTCAATACAAATCCATGGCAGCCCACGCTATCCAGCATGGCACTTAAAGAAGAAGAAGTATGGGAAGTATGCTAATACTGTTTTTCATTCTAGAAAACTATTTTCAACTAATGATACTTTCCTGATTATTTGTATTATTCATAGTTCTTGAGCATCACCCAAAATAATTCCACTAATTAGAAAAGCCTTAGAAATATATATTCAGTATGCTAAATCAAATTCTCTTTAGTATTCAGTTTGCTAAGTCAAATGATCATTATTATTCAGTATTCAAAGTCAAAATATTATTATCATTCAGTTAGCTAAGTCAAATTATCATTATTATTGTTATTATTTTCATTATTTGTGCTACAATTAATAAATAATCACAATGAAATCAGTAATGATAATGATGGTAACGATAATAACGATAATTATAATCATAATACTATCAGTGATGCTAATAATGATGATTATTACATCAATAATAGTAATAATTACAGAAATAATAATAATTATGACAATAATAATACAAAATATAATAATAAAATAATAATATAAATAATATAATATAATAATAATATAATATAATGATAATCATAACAATAAATATAACAATAACAATAATAATAATAATAATAATAATAATAATAATAATAATAATAATAATAATAAAAATAATAACAATAATAATAATAGTAATAATATTATAAAGAAGAATAACAATACTGATGATAGTAATGACAATAACAATAATTTTTCTAAATAATGATAATATTGAAAATGCACGGATAAATGCGAATAATATGATAAATAAATCTACTACCACACACCTCATTATTATCATCAAGATAGTAATAGGCCATGAGAGCCTCTTGGTGTGTCGTCACATCAAGAATCTGTTCAAAGGCGTCGTCACTCATAGCGGAAGTCGTAACAGGAAGAGTGGTCTCTAGCTCTTCCGGATTTGTAAGGTCGCTGACAGACGGACGGCGCGACACAGCCCTTGACACAGCCCTGGATGCAGCACGAGAGGCCATGCGGGAGCCAGGTCGTGACATGGATCGGACAGCACAGCGGAGGGCCACCTGCGACAGGGCCTCCGACTCCAAGACCATTGCATCTTTGTGGCTCTCTGGGACACCTTCCCTATGGGGGGGGGGGGGGGAGGAAATGGAAAAGGTTAGAGATTTTTTTTAAGGAATTCTAGACTTTTTCTTCTTTTGAAGTGCAATAGATACTTGCTTTGAAATTCTTTTTTTTTTATTTTGTTTGTTTGTTGTTGTTTTTTTTGCTTTTTACTCTTAATAACATATGTGTACTTTTATACCTGGGATAGGTATTTTTTTTCCTTCTTCTTTTCCAATACATCAGTTGCTCATTTTGAAATAACTAACTTTTTTTTTTATTTTTCACCTGTATCACCTATAATTATTTTTATTTCATTTTAGGAACATTTATGAGATTACGAGCTTACAGTAAGATACAGTACTTTCGACACACACCAGACTGCCATTTTTCATCTAACTAACAACAAGTCCACTTACAAGTCATCGAGGTCCAGTGTAAAGTCAAAGTTGTGACGATTGTGGAGCTCTGTCTCACCTGTGGAAATGGAGCACGTGTCAAGAATTTTGGTATTATGGGTATACTACTTTATTATGGGTAATATTGACTTTGGCATTACAATAATCCCATCATCATTGCTATTGTTATCATCATTCCTATAAAAGCTAAAGAATATCATAACATTAATTTTATGGTCGTTGCTTCATTACAATAAGAACTTCAACAAAACAGAAAGTTCCTCTTTTTCCAGGACATTCCTCTTACACTCTTTCCCTACAAATGAATACATCCTATT